ATCTGAAAGATGTATATAAATACTACTTCTCATGAAAAAATTGTATTGATCCATACATTTTTTGAAAAGTTATAGCACTTTAAAGTAAAAAATGTAAATTATAAAATCGAAAATTTTCACACAAAAATAGCATTCGGTAGCCGTTTTCACCATGAAGACAAGTCCAGAGGTCAAATTTTTTTTTTTCAAATTAAAGTACATTACATTAGCTTTAATTTAAGATATATATAAAAGTGTCAGACCTTCCGGAACATTTTCAAAAGTTAAGTTGAAAAAGTTAATTTTTTGTGAAAAAGTTGTCATTTTAAATCCCCCCCTGTGGGCAGAAAAAAGGTCAAATTTACAAAAAAAATATACCAAATAATAGGTAAAGACATCAAGCATCTAAAAAAAAAAAATTATATTGATATGTTCATTTTTGAAAAAGTTACGGCAGTTTTTAGTAAAAAAAATTGAAAAAATTTCGAAAATTAGCGATTTTTAAATTTGTAATTTTTTTGGAGGTTTCCCCCATTTACGGGGAACAAGGGAAATTTTTTCAATTTTGAAGGGTAATGTCTTCGACTAGATACGATTTGTGATCTTTTGACGTATCGTTGAAAGAAATCCGTTCGGTGAAAGCTGAGAAAAAGTGGTAACAGACACAAAAAAAAAAAAAACACATCATAGTAAAACCAATACCTTCTCAGCTTCGCATCGAAGCTAAAATCTAAATAGAGAAAAATTATCCACCTAAAAAAAAATTTTTTTTTCAATTTAGTTTTTAAAAATGTTCCTTAATATCTGCATTCTTGAAACATATAACAAATTCAAGCTTTTGAAGTGTACTACATTATTAAAAAAAGTTCTTGCCAAAAATTGCTCTACTATGAAAAAATGGTACTTTAAGTAAAAAAGTCGTAATTTAAAAAAAAATTATTTTCCATAGGGCATATAATTTAATAAGCATTTAATATTTTAGTAAAATTTTAAAACATAGATATTGTTGAATTACAAAATGCAAAAGGCCTTATTGAAAAGTAGTTCAATGGAGAGAATGATTGGAGAATAAATTGGAGCCTATCAAACCTTGACAGTAATCAATTAATCAAGTACCAATGCTCTTAGATACTTGGCTTCTTACTTAAACGACGTGAATGGTTCATCTTGAATAGAATCCGAACCAGACACGGAAGATGTGGAGAAATGTTATTCAAATGGGGGATGAAATATTCTCTTGCTTGTGACTGCAACCATCTGTCTCAAACAATGGAACATACTATAACGTATTAACCGATCCGAGCTTTCAATAAATCAATTAACACATCCACAGAGTTTTGAATGCAGCTTTAACCTCACTGGGATCATTTGTTGTTCTCCTATAAGAACATATATAAGAAGACATTCCCCACATAGAAGTTATCATGAGTTTTTTTGACTATTAATATTATATTTTACTTAATCATTTTATTTTTATATCCTATTCTAATTAAGATTATTTGTAAATAATTTTAGTGAGTTGTAATGCTTGTTAAATACCATATAACAATAATAATAATAATAATAATGGTGTATTTTAAGTTTAACCGTAAAAGGAGATATTTTTCAAAATGAAAATAAAAATGCATCTTAATTACTAATTTAAAATTGGTTTTGTATTTGCTTCATTAAGTAAATTATGATATTCCTCATGTAAAATGGAAATTAAATAACGACTCCTTAATACAGTTGAAATACTACATAAATAACATTCATGATTTTGTTTTCGCTGATTTATAGAATTCATTTATCATGACCACTTAAATAATAGAAAAATAAAAATATTATTGAGAATTTTTTTTCAATAAATTAATTATAGAGTATTCTTTATGTTCATTCCTTATACCGTAAAAAGAGTGTCAATTTTTTTTTTATGGAAACATAATTTACTTGCTAATGCAATATATTATGATATAGTTATGAAATGACTGATTAATAATCTTGTAAATTATTAACCAGCCAGTAAATTTTAAATGCAGACTGGAGATGAAGAGTGGGTGTTGTTGTTTTAATCACTAGTCATTTCTCGGTCACACTTTTCCTCTCACCTAGGTATAAAAGTATTTTAACTTCCAAAATACTTATTCAAAAACAGTTGTCGATCAGTTATTTTAATAATCATTTCAAGTTTTATAAACTAGTTAAATATACTTATATTTTAAAAAATAAAGTTGATAACAAATAATTTAAAAAGTCGTTGTCTAATTATCGTTTTATTTATTTCTCTAATAAAATAGGTACAATACAGCAAAAATTCTTATTTTCATAGTTTTTACAATTTCATGCAAACTCTTATATCTGTTAATTTTTAATGGTGTGCTTTTTTATGTAATATAATATGATAGGTTCCTCTTGATTGAAAATGTTGCTTAACTCTGTAGATAATAAAATTTTAACTAAAAAGTTTATAAAAAAAATTTCAATAATAATCAAAAATCAAGATTTAAATTTTTTATTTAATACTGATGAACTCAAAATTCAAAGTTATAAAAAAACAAGGAATTTTTGTATTTTAAAAGTTTTATTTGATATTTACAAAAATAATAAAAAATAGTGGTGTTATGTAAACAATTGTATAATAATGAAAAATTAATAAATAATAATATATGTATTATATTTTACACAAGATAATTTTATTGCTTTCGCTTATATATAAATCTACAACAATAATTAGCATGATTATCATGCTATGATCGTTGATAGAAAGTTCAGTATTAGGGATAAGATAAACCTATTGAATTTAAAAACTATTTTAAAATTGTTTTTAAACAAATATTAATTTTTAATATCTATTTTCAACATAAATATATGTACTATCTTAATTTTTACATAATTATACTAAATTATGGCAATATAAAATATATTTTTTTATAAATCTCTATCAGTCATGTATTTCCTTAGGTAAATCTATATTATAAAATTAAAATTTTATCAAAATAGAAATAGAAATATAAGATAACATTAATAAAGATTTCATTTTCATAATGAATTAGTATATAACACTTCCATGATATAAAATCCAAATGAACCTTGATTATTTTATTAATATTTATATATAACTAAATAACTATTGCATCCGAAGGAAACTGGAAATTTTTTCTATATGGTCTTCGTTTACTTTTTAATCTTCTCAATGGTCTTTGTCGAGTGAATTGCGGGGGAGGTAATAAATCTACTTCGCTTAGGACTCGCGTGTCTCTCCCAGGAGGGACTAAAAATGGCGGTACCTGATTTCCAGATGATAACAATAAGGGATCGGGATTTATAAAACTTTGCTCTACAAAACTAGCACATTGAGCAGCGCACACATCATCTTGCATCATTTTATTCACACCAACTTCGTTCATCAGACGACCGCAGTCGGTAACTCTTAGTGAAGCACAATTTGGCTAATAAAAAACTATATATAAATGTACATTTTTTAATAATCGGGATATTTATTATAAATATTTACCCCTTCGGGTGTGCAAATACAACTAGTACATGGTGATGGAAGATGAGATTCTCCAACAGCAACTGTTTGACCATTTATATTACAACTTTGTTGATTATCTTTCCATAACGTCAAGTCAATTGTCGGTAGGACTTGACACGGAAGTCTTGGATTTCTTATCATAGAAATATGAGAAAATTTTATTGGTATTCAAAAATTAAAAATTAAATTATCTTACAAATAGTCATTAGATTGATCAAATGCAGCTTTTTGCATATCACTAACAATGTCCATATTTTCACATAATATTTTTGATAATGTAGCTTTACGAATCTCAGCAAGTTGTACTTCCGAAAATCTTAAAAGTGGATCATCATTTTCAAACCTAGTTCATGACGTTACGAGTATTTAAAACTTATTAATTGTTAAATATTTCAATAAATTATTAATATTTTAAAAATATGTTTACAGTAAAATACAAATAAATTATACCAAAAACGATCACATTGTTTGAGGTGTCTGAATTGTAGGCCAATAATACATGCAAAAGTTGGACCTACAAGACCTCCTTGTACTGGATATTCACTTAACCCTCCGGGGAATAAATCAATATCATCTGGATGAGCATAAATAGTTTTAAATCTTGATATAACTTCTGGAGACATTTCACGCGATAAATCTTCCCAAGCAATAGCTCGTTGAAGACCACATCTCACTCGAAATGCATTGTATGATGGTACACCATGGTCTCGAGCTATAAAAATAATCCATAGAATAATAATAATTGTAAATAAGTACTAATTAAACTTTTGAATGAGTTGTATTTTTTTATACCTCGTTGAACATTGAGAGCAGGAAGATCTACTCCTGAATGTGGTATTTTTTTATTCTCAAACAAATGATTCGTTATTTCTGCTGTTATAAACTGATCTAAGTTCTCCATAGGTGTACTAGATTGACCTCTGATTATTTCATCAATCATTTGATCCTATTTTTAAAATAAGTTATTTCATTAATTTAATTTGATTTTTTAGAACATTGAATAAAATTACCCTAAAAATGATATCTGGATTGAAAAAAACATCTCTAAGTAATATAGCTGGTTCTATAGGTTCATAAGTTGGTGACATTCTAGGAATATGTGGTCTTAATAAACTATGTCCAATGCGAAAAGCAGCAACAGCAAACTCGGCGAATGGTCCTGGGTGGCAATCTGGCGTATAAGCTATAAAAATAAAATTTTAGCGTAAAAGTAAAGTTTCAGTTATATTCGTTATATTACTTTTATAATAGCCAGATGGTGAAAGTCTTAGATCATATTTATCAACTGCATTCCAACCTAATATCCTTGGGATAAATTCGTTGTAAATAATATGCTGATACGCTGCAGTAAAAATTTTTTTAGCGATTTGGTATAATGTTTCGTCACTCCAATGTGGATTTAATCTATGCAATACTTCAGCAATTCGATTATGCTCTCTCAAAAAAATCGTATGTAACGCTGTCAATCCTGGTTGTTCACTTACTCGCCCATCCCCTAATCATAATGTATTATATTTTCTAACTAGAATTATAACTTATATTTTATTAACAAATAAAATATAACTGCTTACCACCAATAAAACAATAACCAGAAGAAGCTTTACATTCTGGGTGTTTGGGTGATTGTGGAAGTAAATCTTTTCTTCCTAATATTGGGTGTCTAGTAACATTTAATTTGCCGATATAAAATGATCTCAAATCTTTAGCCATACACGAATCTGAGCCATAAACACTTGATAAATCTAAATAAGCTGAATTTTGGTTAATCTGATCTCTGGGACCTAATCGTTGTTGACCTGGAAGGGATCTCATAAAAGGCAAACACATGCGCTGTCCAGTAGTATAATTTACTTGAGGGTAATATGGATCTCCGGGTGGTATTGGTATTGGCATACATTCAGGATGTACAGTTAGTGGGCTATCACAAGATCGACAGTCGGGAATTGATGAAAAAAATCCTAACGTAAAATACTTATTATTAAAATTGCTATCATCACATTCATATAGTTAATATTTTAATGTTAAAGAAGGAGTATAAATTCTTATTTTAGATAATTAAATAATATAAACAAGAGTGTTAAAGAAAAAATGTGTATACCTCGATGTACAGGTGTAAATGTTATATCATGATCTAAAATTTGAGCAAATTGCATTAGAGTTAGCGTATATCGACCATGGAGATGACTAATATCTGGATGAGACATAGCACTAACTAATCTTGCAGATGGTAATGGTGCACCAGTTACAGATGTTAATCGTGGATGATTAACTCCTAAAAATATGATAGTAAAAGTTATAGATAATTTTTTTTATTCATGGTAAATTGGCTTACCATTTTCATATACAGAAGGCAATATTCGTTGAAAAGTGGTCATTGCTTTACCAAAATTAGGGTTTTTTAAATTATTACAATAGCCACTAAATGTTCTATATGGATTTAATGCATTACAGGGTTCAGTTTCAATTGGACATTCACCTTCAGCGTGGTAAAGAGGAGGAGGATAAAGTTCAGTAAGCTTTAAACCATCAAATAATCCTGGCCCTATAGAATTTATGCTTGATGAAGGATCGCTAATATCTAATATTTGACGACGGAGACGCCTATAGAAGTTATAAAATAATAATTAATTTTATTTTTATTAATTCACTGGAGAACAATTTAGATCTTAAAAAAACGTGTTTCTTATTATTACTTTTTTCCAAGAGACTTTAATAGCTCTTTAGATGCATATTCAAATAATAATGAATTATTTGCTATAATCAAAGCTGATTTACTAGCTTTACTAAATGCTGAAGCTATTCCAAGAGGAGATTTTGGGTCTACTCCACCCTCTAAAAAAAATATTTTGCCGTCAAATATATAACCGATTAAAAATAGTTAAAATCTAGAGAAAGATTAAAATCAATATTTACTTTTTGACCATAATAAAAATTCAGTTTGTTTTCTTCTATTGACATCATCTTCAGCTTTCTTCCATGCTTCTTTTACTAACACAGCATTGCTATTTTCTTCTAAATCTCGTTCTGTATTATAATATGCTGTCATTTTGTCCACTACTTCTTCCTTCCATTGATACAAGTCTAATTTAGGATACTGGTCACAGTTTATTGGATGATTTCTGGAATTTGCAATCCAAAAAAGAGTTAGATTTATAATGGTATCAAGAGTATTATTTTGTTACTTCAAGACTTACAAATAATCATCTTTTTCGATAAAAGCTTTTGGTTGAATAGTTGTAACTTCTTTAAAATTAGTACAAATCATGCCTGCCAAACTACTTTGTCTTATTTCTTGTAACTGACGTATGCTATATGTAGAAGGAGGGAAATCATTTTCATACCAAAATCTATCGCTGTTCTTAATTTTGGAAAACTGTTTAGCAATCATACATGAAAAGGTCGGCCCAAATACTGCTCCTTTTCGTGGAGTCTCTAATAAACCACCAAATAGCAAATCGATTTCATCAAGGTTTCTAATAATAAAGTATTATATAACTTTCAATATTCGAGTTGTTTGACTGACTTTTTTAATAATTAAATAATTATTTGACAAACCTGTATAATGTTTTATTGTCTATTTCTATGTTAGTATTTGAACTAGTAGAAAAGCATAGACTTCTCCAAGTTTTATAAGTAGGGATTTTTAATTGCCTCCCAAAATTCAATAATATTTCAATATCTGAAACATAAGTCATAATATTTTGGTAAGATTAAAATTAGTTCTAAAAACAGAATTTAGTTAGTCAATTCTTTAGGTCTACATAGTATTGATACTTTTTCTCCCGATATAATTTTGTAGTCCAAACCTATCATAGTTATTCACTCATTATTTTCTTTCTTCAGAACAAAAATATTTTTATTTAAATTAATTAATTTAGTATTTATACTTAGTCGATGTGTAATAATTGTAAAAATAAAAACATAGTAAACAAAAAAAAATAATTCTCCAATAACTTACTTTTTTTAGAATTATTAGATTCCTCTGAACTTTTAAATTTATTTTTACCAAATATTATTGTTGGTAATAATGGTAAAACTGTTGCAACTGTACTCTGTAGAATTCCTGGTCTATTAGCACTTGAATATTTTTGATAGTATCCACGTTTAAGTGGGATTAAATTCCATTCATCTACCATTTCCTGAATAATTGTAATTTCTAGATATTATAATTTGTAAAAGCAAAGAAAATAACGTTCTTACATCCCCAATTATGTCAGGAATAAACTCATTATACGTGATATGTTGCAGTTGAGCTATTGTTAATCGTTTCGCTTCTTCAAAGAGAGTTTCATTAGTCCATTTCGGATTAATTTCTCTTAAAGTATTGACAAGGCGATTATGTTCTAATATTAAAAGATTATGAATTGTTAGCGAATTGTTAGGTTTAAGATTTTGAAAACTGAAAATAGATATAAATTATTTTATTATGCTTATTAATTAATGAAAAATATACTAACTCAGAACAGTAACTCATATTGAGATGTCCAGATTGAGTTTTGAAAATAGTGAAAAAATGTGAATCACATGAAATATCACTATATAAAGGAGAAGCGTCCAAAAAACTAGTAGCCGAGTTTAATAAATATCCATTTTCTAAATCAATTAACAATTAAACATTATTTTATATTTTATATTTTTAAAGATGCACGTGTAATATTGGCGGTGCTCAACAAAATCAGTTCAAGTCAAATATTTATAAAAATGAGTTTATGTTGTATATGATTCGAAATAATAATACGTATGTATAGATGAAACAATATAAATCATACAGTAGCTATATTATATTGTTTTATACATTTTTATACATGTATACACTTAGTATACAAGGTGTTCAAAACTAAAGAAAATAGCACAATTGTTCGAAAGAAAGAGAACAATAGAAACCCGTTTCCTGACTTACTGAACACTCTGTATAACTATATTAGTCCACCAAGATACTAGAAATATTCCAATTTAAAAATTGATGAGAAAAAAAATCATCAATATTTTCTCAGGTAAAAAAGTTAGTATTTAAAAATAATTTCCTGATAAGAAAAATGACAATTCCGTGCCTTATTACGTAATAACTCTTTTAAAATAACTATGTATTACCAGTTATATTTTCAATTGCTAAATCTAGTTTAAGAAAATCTGACCATAAACTAGACATTACAGTAAAATGTTTACGTTGTGATATTGTAAATTTACTTAAAGTATCTGCTACATCAGAAACTTCTGGCAATTTATCTGAATAAATAGTATCTAAAATAAAATAAAATTGATAAAATTTCTTTTAAAATGGTGAGTTTAATTTTTACAATTTTTTTATTGACATATAATTGTTTTCAAACATTTTACCTTGCATTTCTACTTTAAGTTGAAGAAATTGAGAGTTTTTAGTACCCCAATTTGGATGGTGTACATTGTTACAACGTCCATCTGTACTTCTATATTTAGTTGCTAAACATTTTTCATCAGTTAATGTTGTCGCTGAAGTGTAGACTAGATAAGTTACCAACACGAAATACACTCTAAAAAAAATGTTTACTTTATAATTATAGAAAATTGACGAGTTAAAAATAATAAAATGTTTGATGTGTTGTATCAAAACTGATCTTGATATTTTTCGGAGTTACTAAAATAGCTTTTGTAATTAAAAAATATTTTGTGTACGTTAATGGTTATATATCACTAATTGGATAAAATACTAATCGAGTGGACTAAAAATGACATCACATTTTTTATGTAGTAGTATTTTGACAGTTGGTTATTCGGGATATGACAATAATGAATGTATTTAATTAAGGTTTTAAGTGATAAAAATTGCAAATAATTGAAGATTATTTAATCACACATTTCATTACACTAAAGCATATGTTGGAAAATAAGCTTTTTTTTATATTCATATTAACTATAAATTGCCTTATCAAACATAGAAATAAAATAAGAAAATTTTAAAATTTTGCGTATCAACCAGAAATTACATGGTTTTTGACTTGCAGGACAAGGAACCACTTTCTTTTTTAAACATACATTAAATTAAACCAACTTTAATTTGAAAATACACAGAACGGTTTAAATATGCAGTTACTATGCAATGTATTACAAAATTTTTATTTTTTCATCGTAAAGTATATTGTTTTAGATTTAATATGACATAATTTTAAAGGATGTAGGTTTTTTGAAACATTTTCAAAAATTGAATAGAAAAAAAAAATAATATGACGATCTTGCATCCTTTTCAGTACTTTGGTTAATGATTAGATTTTCAATAAAAGTATGTCAAAAATTGATCGATGCATTAATAAAATAGATAAATAAAATAAAATTATCAAAATTTTTATGATTATAGTTTATAAAGACAGGTAAGTCATAGTCAAGTCATGATTTTTGTCTTTAATGCTCAATAACTCCTAAGGATCGAAATTTCAGATAATTTTTCTTTTTTTAATTTTAAAGCATATTGTATTAGCTTTAATTTGATGTAGGTTTAAAAAAGTTGGGACTTAGAACATTATAGAAAATTGAAAAAAAAAATTGAATGTAATTTTTAAGCTTCCACGGTATTTCAAATTAAAAATATATTTAAAACTAAAAAATACTTAACTAAAAAAACTACAAAAAAAATAATAAATAAATTATATATTATTATATTAATATATATATATATTATGACTGTAAATCATAGTTTCCTCATTATATACACTTCTGGCTTCTAGAAGATATGATTTATGATCTTTACACTTATTGTTGATTAAAATCGGACCATTGAAGGAAATTAATCGAGTCATGTCACAAAAAAAACAGCATAGTAAAACCAATAGTTTCACAGCTAGGTACGCAAGGCAATGTTGAAAAAATGTACTTTTGCGATATCACAATAAGAGAAGCAATATATGTAACATTTTATATGAATATTTTCGCAGAAGACATTCTATTTATAGTATTTACAGTTTAAATTTAATAATGTACTAAATAAGATCTATTATTTCATATTTATAACTGAACGTCTGCAATTTTACAGATTTTCACTTTTAACTGTTGATCATTTCTTTGTAACACTCGTATGCTATCATTGTTTAGTACCACACTACTTTTTCTGTTACATCCGTTTCTATTCACTATCTTTTAGAAAATACAATTAATAAAAATCAAATTTCTACAGCTAAGTATAATATAAATAATGTAAAACGTTTATCATATAATCAATACCATATAATTTGCTTTTATAAACTAACTTAATATTATTATCTCATGCTACTTTGCCAAAACATACACTATAAAAAATAAAATGTAACGCAATACATACTAGGTGCAAAGATTTAATTAATATATATATATAAATAAAATTTTTTTTTAACTCAATTATTTAATTTATTTTTCAAATATTTTTTTTTCAGGATACTAAAAGTTCTTACACAATAAATTAGAAGGTAACTAAGAACAATTATGAGTAATTAAATTCATTTTTTCTATAATTTATAAATAATTTGTTTACATAATTGTTTTGCAATTATAAATGTATGCCATCTAGTTTTTTTAAATTAATTGTTTGTTTTATTCAGTTACTTATATATTTATAATTTTTGTCAAATAAAAATACTATTCCATTTAAGCAGGAGTACATTTTGATTTTAATTAGAACTATAACGTCCAAAAAATAATGAATATAAATATTTTAAAATAAAAATTCATTACACGCTTATAATAACAATATAAAATCAAATATATACTCTAAATAAAAAAATATTCATCCCACAGACAATTTTAAAATAGTCTAAAAAATTACGTATTCATACATCTAACTTAATATTTTGCATAATATTTAGTATAGTACTAAATAGTAAACTTCTAGAAAGTTCTAAATTGTAAACTTGGTAAACTGAAATGTTTAAGAAAAAAGTTACGATAATACATTGTAGATTAGTATTGTTTCTTAAGCAAGATTATATAAAAACAATACATATTTATAATTTATATGTGTATTTATAAACTTATTCAAAATAAAAATTGAGTTAAAACAACAATTCAAATAATATTTGTTTCTATTGAATAACAAAAATAAATAATAAATAAATCCAGCCCTGTATTAATGAAGAACATACCACGATTTGTGCCTTCCGACATGGCCAGCGTATTTCAAATAATTGGGACCTCAAATTATAAAAACTAAAATTTAATTAGGACCTAAATTAACCCAATTGATTTAAAATACTCTATCTAGTATATTAGTATATTTGTCATTACACGAGTAAAATATTTATGATAACATTGTCATTGCGTTTCTGTTTTAAATAAGTATCTAAATTGTAAAATATTGATTTTTAAAAATATTTTGTATAACACTTAATGAACAATTGATATTGACAAATGTTCAAAAAATATTTTAGAGTTGAAGATAAATGACAATAAAATAACAAAAACCTACTATTTGTTAAACTAATCAAAAAGTAGAAACCAAAATGATTTCAGTTTTTTGAAAATGTTTACGGTATCTAGCAAGTTAATTGACTTATACCAATTTTTTTTTTTTAAGAATTTAAAAAGTTAATAATTGTAAAAATCGAAAGTATGATGAAATCATTTTTAATTCTCAACCAAACTTAATATTTGCCATTAGTTTAAAAATTGATATTACCGAAATTTTTCATTTGCTTAATTTTGGGTTTCCACTTTTTTATAGTTAAATTTTAAGGTCAATTAAGATTTCAAAGGTAATTTTACAATATTTTTTGTTTCTGCAATCATTATTTTTTAAATATATATAAAAAAATAAATGCGGATATACTAGATTATAAGAAAATTGTCAAAAAACAATACTATTTAGGTTCCTAAACGTGACTTATGTATTATAATGCACTTAAAGAAATATTCGAGTACTTTATATGATTTATTATTAAAATTAATTCAACATTAAATGTTTTTTTTTAAATAAAGTTAGTAACCTTTAAATTAAATTTATCATTTAAATGAGGCCTAAAGCTTTTGTATATAATTTTCCTATTTGACAACTGTAATAATATTTTATCATTTTCCAAACTCAATACATTCATAAAATTATTTTATAATTTCGAATTTTTACCATATATGAAAACCATAATATCCAATATTTCAACTTAGAATTAATGGGCTGTTTATGCGAATAAATGTGATGTAAGTGAATATAAAATGAACACTTTAAAGTTTAAATAATAAAAGTTTATTGCCTGATACAGTTAATGAGATCAATTTGACATCAATATATTGTAAGTTTCAAGTAATTTGACGTACTAAAATTTAATATTTTAATTGTTTAAAAATTGAATATTTAACAGATTTTATTTTAAATTAAAAAATTCTAATTATTATTTATGCTGCTATCATAATAGATGTAAGCCCGAAATAAAAACTTCAGCTCATTAAATTTTTTGTTTAAACTTTTAAATAATTTAATTTTGCTCATATGATTTTTTTTTAATTGATGCAACATACATATTAAGAGAGAAATATGTATAAAAAAAACCCAACCCAATCAAACCTTTTAAGCTTCGATGCGAAGCTAAAAAATCAAGTTAATAAAATATGTAAAACTTATTTTTTCATATTTTTTAATCATCATAAATATATATATACATATAAAAATTATGTTTTTAAGTAATGAAAAAATTAACATTTAATTTATTAGTCTTCGAAAAAAATAAAAGGTTATTTTTGAACATTAAAATAACAATATTAAATATAATATATTATTTTACAATTTTGTAATACAAAACAATTCATTGTGTTTTCAATTTGTTCATATATACTTTTTTTGTTTAGTTTAAATTCACTTAAATACACACCACAAAAGTAAAAGGTTAATTATATTTTATAATATCAATAAGTTTATTTGGAGTCCAAAATTTTTTTAATTTGAAAAATAGTTTATTTTTTGTTAAAAATTATATTTTCTATAAGAATATCTGTTATTATAAGATTAGAGATTTGGGTTTGTTGTTATATTATATTACAACGTCAAGTATAACAATTAAAAATGAACATATCATGATTTATCAAACAAAGTATACAAAACAAAATAATTTGTACTTGGTTAAATTTATTAATATTACTTTATTTTCCACACAGTCTTTTACATTAATTATTCTGTATTAATATAAACTACATACCTTAAAATAATTGATAATTCCATAATTAGCTTGTTATAACAGCTTGTAAAACTACGAAATAAAAAAAATGTAAGAATAAAGAACGAAAAACCTTTGAGACTCCGATTTTGTTTAAAATGTAACGGTCAAATCATTTTTCTTAGGTAGTATCTCACTGCACACACTTACAGTTCTTAAACTAATACTATCACACTTTTTTGAAGTAATCCGTCGACGAAGAACGCCCTTGTCTATTTCTTGTCCTCCTACTTTTTTTTTGTTGAGCATAAATAATCTTACTCTCGCTATCGTCAACAGTTATTGAATAACAAACGGAAGAAAGTCATTTGGTCATAATAATTAAAAAACTGTCAAAATATTAATAACGGTGAAATTTGCCTAAACAATTTATGTAAAATTTTTAAACGTGTATTTTGTTAATATTTTTAGTATAAAATATAATACTTATTGGCTTAACCCAAATATTTTTTTAAACATTTAAATAAACAAAAACTGAACAAAATATTTTGGCCCACTGTTGAATATTTTTAGTTATCTTATTTTAATTAACCTATAAATTTAAAACTTATAAACTATGCTTAAAAATTAAAAAAGAATTTAATGAAGGTCAGTGAAAGCTATGGGTGACTTGAGTATTAGACTAAGGCGCCGGAATGATAATAATAAGGATGTAATATATTTATTATTATTAGTTTTCAATTTTTTCAAGCTATTTGAAGGACACAGATTTTCCAGGAAATTTTTAAAGTTTAAAAAGAAAAGTTTCTTAATAATACACACATTATTATTATCAAAATCCCATAAATAGTTAGGTTGAAAAAAAAAATAATACTAAAAAAATACTCTAAAAGAAAATTTGTCAAAGAATTTTTTTATGAAAAAATTTAATCTAGGTCGCAAAAAAAAAATCTAATTCATTCAATTTTACAATTGAGTTTTTTTAGGTATTTCCCTTAAATATGAAAATCAATGGGACTCTCGAATATATAAATCAGTTAATTTAATGAAAGCTGATAAAAAAATAGTATATACAAAATAAAAGCTTTGGCACGAATATTAGTAGGTCATGAGCAATTTTATAAAGGCTAAACCTTTCGAAATTCTACGAGTTGAGTATCTGATCTGGAAACTGTTTAAATCATTATTGATTTATAAAAATATTAAAGTTATAAATTTCGTAACACGCTCACTTTATATAAAAATCAATAAGACAGCTCAAGGTAGAAATTATTTTTGGTGGGCGATCCCATTGTATTCGAAGGGGTCGTTTAAACGTGTCTGATGTTTTATAATGATACAAAATTATTATAAAGTAATTCAATTTAATAATTTGAAACTAGTTGCTTAATATATTTACTCGTCATGTATTTATTATATACATAAATTACAGATAAATATAATATCAAATAATATATCTATTACGGTCGTGACCAACGTCCATATTTTGTTTATAAAGACTAATGTATATAAAAAAGCGGGGGATAGGTTATGTAGCTGACTTGTCAAATATAAACATAAAAACAAGTCCCCATAAAACAAACTTTAGTAAGTCAAGGCTACGCCCTTACAAGATCAAGACAACTATGTAACTAAAAAATCTCAATTATATCATTTTCACTTTTAACTGTGAATATATTAATAAATATTTTATGTAAAACAGTAATAAAACCATTATTGAATATACTGAAATGTATTATTTACCATTATGTAAATGCATTTTTAGCATAAAACTATTATAAAATTAGCACTAAAATTACATTTCATAATGTAGATATACTTTTTGAACTCAACTTCTTATTGAATATTTTGATAAGCAAATTAATTCTGCATTAAAGTGTGGTAATCCCGGCAATAATATGATTACCAATATTTATGCACTGTCTTGCTCACTTTTTTATTGAGTTCTATAGGTAATCTTTATGTAATATTTTGAATTTTGAAATATGAGTTCTCGTAAAACATTAGATATGTGTATACGTTTGATTGTTTATTTTTTATTTTTATATTTGTTTAATAAAAAGAACTTTTAATGTTCAAATTTAAAACAAACAACTTTCAATGTAAAGAACACAAAAGATCTAATTAGTAACACATATCACATAAATTTGAATATTATTAAGTGTTAAACTGATATATTATGTAACATTGAAGACCTGTTCACAGAAATAGTTATTTTGAAGTTCAACACCAGATACTTATTAGAAAGTAAATGTAAAATTCAATATCTTGAAATAATGAAAAATGATTTTCAGTCGGTTTACATGAAAAATAAATGTATCATGTCTTTATCATAAGCACGATTAGAAAAATATTTTTGAGGGATATAAATTATTTTTTTCCCTACTAAAGTTTTTTTACATAATAAAGTATATAATAATGCAAAACTATATAATAAAACATAGGTTGATTGGTTTATCATAAACTGTTTAATTTCTCGCAAAATAAATACAAAATTGAAAAAAAAAAGTTTTTTTACATACTTATATTTATTAAAATATCATTTATTAATTAAGTTAATTTTTATAATTATTCCTTATAGCTTATGAGGGCGACAATTTTATTTTTTTTAATGGTAACATACATATAAGACATGATCTAAAAAGTTATTAATAGCTGATAAATCAAAAATGTAAGTAACTAAATAACAAAATTGTCATTTCAATATTGTATTTATTTTGCGAGTAGTATAGTGGTTTATGATAAACGGATCTCTCTATATAATATTTTTTAAATTTAAGAGCACTTATGATGATGAAGAGATTTTAAGCGCAACATTTTCTGAAGATTTTAGACTTTATATATGTTTTTCCTCTTCTCGATATTACCCAATATCTTTTTTTTTTTTGTTATACATCAGTTATTTATTAATTAACTAATTATGTTTTAAAATCATGCAGGGTCAATAAATTCAAAATTTTTCTTAAAATTAAAAATAATTCTGTAACTATTTTCCAAAAACTGATATGTCAACTTAACTTTTTTTTGGTGATCAAAAACAAATATTGAATTTTATTCAGGATTTATGTAAATTATCATTTTTGAACTGTAAAAAACAAACTTTTGTGAGAAAAATGACTCTTAATATTTTGACGCTTGATAAATAATATTTTTTTAATTATGAAAAAAAGTAAACACCCATTATTAAATGCTCCTCCTTGATTAATGTTTCTTGAAATGTTAAAAAAACTATATGATAAAACGAATGTATTTTTTGCTACTTAAAAAAACCTAAAAATATATTAGGTCGTCTGTTAAAAAAATCATTAATGGGCTTAAATGTAATAAATATAATTCGCTAATTAATTAATAAGTTATACATCATTTTTAATAAACTAATATTATTTTATCAGCCAAATACTTAAATGACCTGATTATATGAAAAGGTCTTATTAAGGGCGATGAGGAGAATAGTTTCCTCAGAAAATAAATATTTATACGGTTAAGATACATTTTATTGTTTAAAGGGTTAGGTTTTTTCTCTTATATATATCCTCATTTAGACTCTAAACACGTTTATAGTTGCCATAAAATTTACTTATTAAGCTACTTAGATTGTAAATATAATAAAAATAAGTTGTAATAGTGAAAAAATATAATAATAGTATGTTTAAAAAACTCAATTCTTAAGTCTTCTAAATATTAACGTATATCATGGATAAAACTAAGTAGTATATAGTTTTTTTCGTGATTAAGACGAATATAATAATTCTGTATAAAACGAATATAGTATATTCTAATATTATGAATCTCAAATATATAATACACTTTTTTCATTAGAACAAAATTTTATCTTTATACTGATATACAGTGGAACAAAAAACGATAATTTCTAAATAGTTTTCAACATTACATACGATTCTGAGGTTCTATTTTCTCTATCACGTCTATTTTTTTTATATAGTATTTTGAAAATTTCCAAATTTTAAGTCAAATATTTTGAGTTCATAATAATTAGATAAGTATCTTCGAATGACGAGGAACAGTAATTTAAATAGTTACCCTAAATAAAAGAACACTGTTGATATAGCGACAAAATAATTATAGAATTGAAATAATTACAGCCGTATAGTTGAACCAATTATAAATAATAGTTAAAATATAAAATAAATAATAGATTTTAAAAGTATAATAGATGTAGCAGAGAATTAATTTTTCGCGTAAAGTAGATCAACAAAGAGCTGATAATCATAAAAAAATAAAATAATGATTAGTTACAATATTTTTGACGAAATCTTGTAAGATGTAAACACTATACATATATATGTTATGTATATTTAACATATATATCACGTCACTTGATGTTACATTTAAATAATATTTGATCATACATTTTTAATAATTATATTATTGTAAATAATATAATGAATTATTATTATGTTATTTCTTACATAAAATAATAAAAGTAAGAATAAATTATTTTTTAACCAAAACCTAATCATGAAACAATGTAACTACCACCAATTATGATAATGTGATTTTGTAAACTGCTCACATAAACAGCACAAAAAAATATTCACACAAAATATATTAATATTTTTAACACAATATCAAATCAGTTCTACAACATTTATTCACTTGTAAAAATCAATTTGTATTCATCAAACTTCTTAGTTTTTTTTTTCAATTTACTGAATAAAATTTAAATTTAGAATTGGCGATTGTCCAAGCAAAAATAGAATTGTATTATTTTTTACATGTGAATTGTGAAAAATTAGCATTTTTTATAGAAATTGACTTGCATTCAAATTTTATGTAAAACATTACAAAAGAATTTTTATAATTCACTGGATTTTCTGAAAAAAATATTGGTTTCATATCTAGATACTAAAATTCATCATAAATTATTAATATATTATTGAAATTTAAAGTTAAATTAAACCTTTATTATCAATTTTTTAATTATACCAGCACCTTTTTATTACTAACTTCTAGTTAATATTCTAGTATTCATTTTTGCCATGGCCATGACAAGCGCTAAGTTAATAAGTCCATTAGGGAAATAGACGTAAGATGAAAAAATTCGATTTTACCTGAGGAGTAATTATTTAAAACTCCTTTTAATGTGGAAGAAAATCAATTTTTGCTATAGTAGATATGCTTTTGATCATATTTTGTTAAAAACTTCTTTAATATAGTGATCACCAAAAAATAATATCGGTGCTATAAAATTTAAATATTATCAGTTTGTAGAAGGGGACGT